TGGTGTGTGTTCAGGGTTCAGGTTGCTGTGTCTATTCTATTGGTAAACATGAGTTTTCCACCTCAGTGTCTTAAAATCTAGTTCCTGAGAAAGTACTCTGCATAACGGACTTAATGATGCAGCACTGGAACAGCAGGGATATGGAATGAGGTGTGACAGGAGAGCTAGGCTATTTACGTATCAGCAGAACTTACAGGCAATTCTGCTTTATCCTTGCTGCTATTAATAAGCTTGCCCTCTTCATAAGTGACTAATTTAAGATGAATCTTACATGATTAAAAGTACCCAAAATGGAAAGGAACCTTGAACCATCTCTGCCCTAGTAGCCCTGATAATTAATAAGACTATGTGTCCAGGATATAATATGACTGTCTGGTGAGAGGTATGATTTATAATTATTGTTCCTTAACCATACAACCTTTAGTTGATCCCAGCCATTTTCTCACTGCCCTCTGCTCAATGAATGTACTATGTCTCATGCCACCTCCCTTTCTCATATGCTGTCCCTTTGTCTTTCGATCCTAAATATCATTCATCCATGAAGGTTTGCAAAAGGTTCTCAAAAACTCTTCTCCAACTCTTCTTCACATTTGCATCTCTGTTTTCTGAATTATAACTACACTTCTAATGCATTTTATCATTTGGCACGCCATGTTGCCTACCTGTGTTAATTCAACCCTGCTCTCTTTTTGAGTGCCAGGGAAATCATCCCCTCTTGCATTCTTAGACACATAGTAACTTGGCTCTTCCATCAAGATGGGTGTGCCAGTAAATACCAGTGACGCAGGTTCATTTTCCAAACCATCAACAACAAAATCCTCTGTCAATACTGACCTTCAGGAAAGCTTATATGTTTATGACATCAACAGATCAATTATAGAAAAACTACTGACCTGAAATGCACAAGGGGTATTGTCCACACAATAAACTCTTAGGTTGTAATCCAGGGAGTTACAGGACATGCAGCCAAAGACCGCCACCTTGAGCTGCTTCACAGCACAATCTGTGATTGGCTCTCCCGTGAGGGCGTAAGTCCCAAAGCTATCAAGGAGCACATGGCATGCAAACGGGTCTAAAAGGCAGTAACAGGATGTGGATTCATCCTCCACGGACATCACTTCCTGTTGGGGAAAGATGTGATGTGTACTTTCAGCTTGGAAATAAGACAGGATTTTAAATGTCACAAGTCCATAAATAAATAAATTACAAAAAAATATTTTTTCATAATATTTTTACTGTCTTAATTATCTTGATGTTAAAGCATTTCTCTTCTATTAAAATAACTGTTTACATCAAGAACTCAAGAAATAGTTACGTTTATCATGTTGTAATTCTACTTTAATAGGTTATAATAAAAAAATCATTCTGAAAGTCCCATTTCTGGTTAATTGTTCAATATCTGGTTGAGAAGAATGTTGAACATTAACCTCGATAAGCAAACTTATTTAT